CCCATTGAATTTTTGGTACCAGGGGGTGAGCAGTGGCCCTTAGGATTGGGGGTGAACCCGGAAATGTTTTTGCCTGATTTTTTCAAAATAAGGATCATTTCTATAGTTAGGGTGACTGACCTGTCCTTGTTTAAACTGTTGTTCATACTCTTCTTGGTCTAGTATCTCCTCATAAAAGCCCCTGTGATCAGGCCCTGTAATATAGGCCTCAGCTTCTCCAAGTATGTCCTGACCCAGGAGGTTGGCCGTAAAGCCCAACACCACTAGAGGGCGTACCTCCCCACGATTACCATCAGGATCAGTACAGGGCTGCCAGTTAGCTGCATAATGTTGACTATCTGCCCACACCGAGCAAGGGTGAGCCGGGAACCAACTGCCAGGAGGGGGGTACTTCCTCCTTTCTTATCACCGTACCATCAACCCCAGTGTCTAAGAGAAATTTGAAGGTCCTTTCACTGACCTTTAGGGTCATTTTTGGTCTTAAATCAGGAATTAAAGTTACGGTCCAGTGTGTTCTGACCACTTTCTTCCCCTTGTTTAACCGGGCTGGGGATGGCCCCTGGAGGAGTTTAAAGGCTCACCTTGAAGGTTGAACTTGGATCTGCATTCCCTTGCCCAGTGAAACCCTTTCTTACATAGGGGACAAGGCGTACGAGGCATGTTAGATGCTGTAGGGGCTGTTGGGGTGTCTTTTGTTCATTTGGGACATTCCTTTTTAAAATGACCCTCTTTGCCACACCCAAAACGTATTCACCCTTTCCCCACTGAGACCTGTTGGAGGGCATTAATTAGGGTGATCATTTCCTCCTGGCGGGCAGCTTGTAGAGCAGACGCCATTGCGCTGATCTGATGGGTGGTGGACCCTTCGTCCTTAGAGGCCACGATCCACCTACCCAGGAACTGGTTCCTCAGCCCAGCACAGGCTAACTTGTAATCAGTTGTCATTCCATCCCAGACAAATGACCTAATGAACTTATCACGTAGTTCTCCAGGGGGAAACTTTCTCTGTAGACTCCTCAGTACCCTTTCTATAAAGGAGGCCAGGTCCTCCCCAGCCTTTGGGTGATTCCTGAAATAGGGGACTCTGTCGGGCCTTCCTCTAGCCTTTTCCAAGCCGCAAGCACCAGTGCTTGGACCTGGTCCTGATAAGGATCAGGGTTGGCTGCCTGTTGAAGGCCTGCTGAGAACTGGTCACAGGCGCCCGAAAGCATGCCAAAAGTAATTGGAACCACAGGGAGGGCTTTCTGATTTTGCTCAGCCTGGATGCGACATTTGTCCTGAAAAAAATGTGCTCTACTTCAGAAATATGTATCTGAGAAGCACTGCCCTAGCAAGGTCCTACCAATCCTGGGTGGTACATTGATGGTGGGCTAAGCCCTGGAGGATAATCTCGACCCAGGGGGAATTAGGTCTGTCTTCTGAGCCCGTATTTTTGAGATATTTTAAATCATGTGCTTCCTAGGGGTACGAGGCAGCCAGGCAGTTGCCACTGGGGTTAACATTGACAGTTAAAAGGTTGGTCATTTCTCCCCCAGAAGCATCCTCTGTAGGCATTTCAGGCGGATCTGGATGGGACAGGTATTCTGGCACTCAGGAGTCACAGACTACTGAGTGTCAGGGACCTTCGGCCATCTACCAGGTACAGCTGCCTCATGTACTCATAAGACGTGATTCAACCCTCATAGAAAGTACATGACTCGGGACCACCCTGCTACCTGCCAAATTACAGGAACAGACCTGCGGCTTATCTAGGGCATAGGCTTAATAGAAGGTGGAATGTGAAAGATAAAGTTAGAATCTGCAGTTAGGTTACCAGAGGACACAGGATGACCTACTCATGCCACTGACCTTCCGTTCCTCCAGGTTCATCGGAGCTATAGCACATCCCCCATTCCTTCCCCTCTTCCCTTCCCCTGTATAAATCCCTTTGGGATGAATAAAGTTGTCGCCTTGATCAGACTCTTGTCTTGGCGTCCGTCCTTGTATCCCCTGCCCCCCCCCCCATTTTTTCCCTAGGTGTCCACGAGACCCATGTTGAGTGTCCTGTGGGTCAGGAAAACTGAGTGTTACACAGCTCAGATGGAAAGGTATCCTGGAGCTCAGGATCCACAGAATACTGAGTGTTACACAGCTCAGGTGGAAAGGTACCCTGGAGGTCAGGAGCCAAGGACTACACCACAGGTTGCAGTAAGCTTAGCTGCTTACAGCCTTGCCTCAGGGAAAGGCTTCCCCAGTGTATCAGCAGGACAGGGTCTTCCAGCTGGGAATGTTTGCCCAGTGCAGCAGTTTTGCTTGGAGAGCAAAAGTGTTATAGCCCTGTTTGCTGTGCTCTCCCCAGGGTTGCCTCTGCTCATTCTTGTTTGTTTTAAAATGGTTGACGGTGGTGGAAACATATGTGGATTTCCACCTTTTTTCTTTTGGCTGTTGGTAAGGTGGGATTATCTATTGTCTATGTTTTTCTGGTTGTAGTTAACTCTCTTGGGTTGGAGTTTTCCTTCTAGAACTTTCTGTAGGGCTGGATTAATGGATATATATTGTTTCAATCCATCTATAGTGATTGAAAGCTTTGCTGGGTATAGCAGTGTGAACTGGCATCTGTGGTCTCTTAGTGTTGGTAGAATATCTATCCAGGACCTTCTGGCTTTCAGAGTTTCCATGGGGAAGTCAGGTGTGATTCTCATAGGTCTGCCTCTGTATGTTACTTGACCTTTTTCTTTTGCTGCTTTTAATATTCTTTCTTTATTCTGTATGTTTTGGGTTTTTACTATTATGTGGCAAGGGGACACTCTATTTGGTGTTCTGTAAGCTTCTTGTATTTTCATTGGCATGTCTTTCTTTAGGTTGGGAAATTTTTCTTCTATTATTTTGTTGAATATATTTTCTGCCCCTTTGAGGTGAGTTTCTTCACCTTCTTCTACGTCTATTATTCTTAGGTTTGGCCTTTTCACGGTGTCCGATATTGCCTGGATATTTTGTGTTCGGGATTTGTTGGACTTAAGATTTTCTTTGTTCGATGAACCTATTTCTCCTAGTGTATCTTCAATACCTGATATTCTCTCTTCCATCTCCTGTATTCTGTTGATTATGCTTGCATCTGTAGTACCTGTCCGTTTCCCCAGTTTTTCTATTTCCAGCATTCCTTTGGACTGTGTTATTTTTATTGTCTCTATTTCGGCTTTCAACCCTTGCACTGTTTGACTTGTTTCTTGCAAGTTTTGCTTTGTCTTTCTTCCATTTCTTGCATTTTTTTTTGTATTTTTTCCTCCATTTCTTGTATTTTTTGGTTTGTTTTCTTCTTCCATGTCTTTAAGGGATTTTCTCATATCCTCTTTGAGGGCCTCTATCATTTTCATGAAGTTGTTTTTAAGGTCTTTCTCATCTGCTTCATCTGTAATGGGCTGTTCAGGTCTTGCGGGTGTAGATTCTCTAGTTTCTGGTGTTGTGATATTGGCTTTTCTGTTGGTGGGTGTGTTTTTATTTTTTTATTTTTGTTTTTTTGAGACAGGGTTTCTCTGTGGCTTTGGAGGCTGTCCTGGAACTCGCTCTGTAGACCAGGCTGGCCTTGAAGTCACAGAGATCCTCCTGCCTCTGCCTCCCGAGTGCTGGGATTAAAGGCGTGCGCCACCAACGCCCGGCTGGTGGGTGTGTTTTTATTTTGTTTCCTTCCCATCATTTTTTCCCGTGGATGCAGAAGGAGTCTCTTCCTCTCCTGGTGGGTATGTGACCATGGTTCCTTTCCAGTGGGTGGGAGCAGGTCCAATACCCTGGTGGCTTTCCCCTTGCGTAGATGGAGGCTGTCCTAGTATCAGTGCCTTGGCAATCTCTGGGTAGGGTGGACACTCGCCTGTCCTGTGGGTGGAGAATGGGACTTGAACTCTGGCATTCTCTGGGTGGGCTGGCTCCTGGGGCTGTAAACAGGCCCAGGCCTATCTAGCCCTGTGGGTGGAGAAAGGGACTATGGTGCTGGCAGTCTCTGGGCGGGCTGAATCCCATTGGGCTGGGATCTACTGTATACAATCCCCAGGTCTCCAGTGGTTCTGCTCAGGGCACTGGAAAGCAGGCTGGAGACAGTCCTATGCTTACCTCACCTGTCCCATGGGTGGAGAATGGGACTTGGAAGCTGGCAGTCTCTGGGTGGGCTTGAGTTCAGTATTTTTATGACCAAGATTTTCCTTTAGTATGTATATGATGCTCCTTCTTTCTCTCTTCTCCTCTCCTTTCTCTCTGTCTTTTGTTTCTTTCCTTTCTTCCCCACCCCATCACATCCTCTCTTTTCTCTGCCTCGTCTCTCCTACCTCCTTCCCTTTTCATCCCCCTTTTATCTTGGGGTGGCTGCTGCTCTTCTTCTTCCTCTTCTTCCTTCTTCCTTTTCTGTAGTGATATCTTGCTTGTACAAATAAAGCCTGTCTGATGGTCAGAGAGAAGGGGCAACCCACAGAACACATTATCTCCTTAGCATCTCAGCAGACAAGAGAGCAATTTCCTGTCTCTTCCTGATTATATCCTGTTTCTGCCCAGCTACCTCACTTCCTATCTGTCTGTACAGACCTCCAGACCTCTATGGTTAGCTAGGGGCAAGCTCCATTCTCTGATCCTTGGGCAGGTTTTATTTGTACAAGCAAGATATTTCTTCCTCCTTCTCCTTCTCTTCCTCCTCCTCTTCTTCCATCTCTTTTTCCTCCTCCTACTCCTCCTTTTTATTGTTTTTGTGCTTTTTCCAGACAGGGTTTCTTTGTGTAGTATTCCTGGCTGTCATAGAACTCACTTTTTTTTTTAACCACGTTGCCCTTGACTCATGAGATCTGCCTTCCTCTACCTCTGTTTCTGCACCCTAGGGTTCTGGGGTAAAAGACATGGCCAGGTTCATGGTGCTCTTCAAGGTGCTTCCCTAGTGGCAGTGTCTTTCCCATTCATCTTCAGCCCCCTCATCTGTGGAGATTGATGTTGTCTGAAGATCTAGTAATGTTCTGTAGACAGAGAATACAGTCACCAAAGCCCAGTTCTTTCTATAGGTTCTTTATTAGAGGGCACAGTGTGTAGTGAACAAAACCAGGCAGGCAGGGATGGTGTAGGCAGTAACTGAGGTGACAGACTAACAGTGATTGCCTTTGAACTGATCGGTGTATGGAGTCTTGGAGAAGCAGATGCCAGCTTGGCGGTCACAGTTGCAGATGAAGGCCTCACAAGGGTTGTTTTTGTCTGCAGAGAAACAAAAAAAGAAGATGACTACTTTGTTGGCTGCAATTTGTAGCCTAGAGAAGCCAGTGGCCCTCCCATCTGTGCAGACTCAGGGTTGAGAGACCAAGCACACAAAAGTTCATGGGGTTGCGCAAATTGCTGGAACAAAGTTACAAAAAAATTAGTTGTTGTGGGGCTGGGAAGATGGCACATTTGGTAAAGCAGTTGCCATGCAAGCATGAGGGCCTGAATTAGGACGCCCAGACTCATGCAAAAATCAAGGTGTGGTTGGGGCATTTCTAACTCTATTGGGAAGTGGGGAGCACAGATCTCCAAAATGTGTTGGTCACTCAGGCTAGTAAAAGGTGAGTGTCCTGTTTAGTGAGAGACCCAGCATCTAAAAGACATGGTAAGGAGTGACTGAAGTAGACACAGGATGACAACTTATTCCTGTACATAAAAATAAATAAACAGAGATATTTGATCCTAAAACCAGGAAAACTACAAACATCAACCTCCACTTCTAAATTCCTATGATTTAAGACAATCCTGCTGCCTCCACCTTCTAAGTGCTGGGATGGCAGGTGTGCACCACCACACTCAATGCATGGGTTCTGGAGGTGGAACTCAGGGCTCTGTGCACAGTAGACAAGTTCTCTAGCAACTGAGCCATATTCCCAGCTCTCTGAATCCTCACCTGTAAAATGGGAATGAAAAATCTTGCCCTGCATAGGTGTTTAGTCCACTGGTTAGCTTATAGCCAATGATGCAGCTTTCAGTTGTTTAGTAAATAGGGAATCAGTGCAACATAGCAGCTGATTGGAGAGGCTTTGGGCAGGCAAGATGGCTCAGGGAATAAAAGCACTTGCTGCCGAGTCTGAAGCTGAGTTCCATCCCCAGAACTCACATGGTAAATGGGGAGAACAGGCTCCTGCATGTTGTCCTCAGAGCTCCACAGGTGTACTGTCCCATAGTCATGTCCTCCCCCACAAATGTATAAAGTCTGTAAATGAGTTTAAAAACATATTGGACTTATGTGGTGCTGTGTTCCAGAGCCAAATGCATCACTTCTAAGCTGGGTGACCTTCTGCAAGTGGCCCAGCCTTCCTCATCATCTTCCTCATCTGAGATCTCACAATATTTAGTATCTACTTGATAAGGTTGTTTGAGTTCAAATGGGACCAAGGAAAAGACCACTAAATGGTGACTGTGCTTGTTACTTTTGTGACCCTTACAAACAAGCCTAGGGACAAGCCTAGTCCAGAGGTTCTGGAGGATAAACCTACCACTGCAGGTGACCGCAGTCCCAGAGCAGGAGTATGAGTAGGAGGTGGTGTAGGGGTTTCTTATGAGCATTCCACAGTTTCCCAGATAATCTACCTGAGCGAGGCACTTGTCCCGAGCCCTGCAGCACCTGGAGAGAAGGAGGAACAGCAGAGGGAGAAGAGTGGACCCACAGGAGGTCAGTTCTTACCTACTGTCTGTATTAAACATGCCAGGATGATTTAAACATGATGTTCTAGCAGAAATGGTTCTGAGGCTTGAGAATCTCTGATTTTTTTGTTTTGGTTTTTGAGACAGGGTTTCCCTGCAGAGATTTGGAGTCTGCCCTGGAACTAACTTGTAGATCAGGCTGGTTTCGAACTCACAGAGATCCATCCACCTGCCTCTGCCTCCCGAATGCTGGGATCAAAGGCATGTGCCATCACTGCCCGGTAAATCTCCGATTGTTATTAGGCATATATTTATTGAAATGAACGTCTGTAGAGTGTGGTAGATGCTGGACTCTAATCCCAGTTCTTGGGAAGCAGAGGCAGATGGATCTCTGAGTTTGAGATCAAGCATGGATACATAAATGAGACTCTGTGTTAAAAAGTGATTTTTGTTTTTTTTGGTTTTTTATGAGACAGGGTTTCTCTGTATTGTTTTGGAGGCCGGTCCAGCATGGCCTCACAGAGATCCGCCTGCCTCTGCCTCCCGAGTGCTGGGATTAAAGGCGTGCGCCACCACCGCCCGGATAAAAAAGTGATTTTTAAAAACAAAACCTCAGGCATACAGTGAAATTATATATTTGAAAACTTCAATGATTTGTCAAAGTCAAGGCTGACACTTTGATGGTGGCTGTGATGTGTCGCCATGCCCTAGTCTGGCACTAGATGGCAGCACTGCCCAGTATTTAAATCTCACACATTCTTCTTTCAGGGACCACTACACTTAGACAATTTCTTTACATGACGAGAGGGGGAAATACATGCTGGGTGTGCTGATGCACACTTTTAAATCTCACCACTCAGGGGACAGAGGTGGAAGATCTCTGATTTCTAGGCTAGCATGGTGGTCTCCATGACAACTAGGGCTGCACAAGATTATCCATGTCTAAACAAGCAAAAATAAATAAGAAATGAGACAAGATATATGATGTATAGTGACTATGCCTGTCTCCTATTCATGCTTCATGAGATGCTCTGCTTATTTTCTGTCTCCACCACAACCCAGACACTCCAGTCTCCCACCAGTTGGATCACTCACCTGTCTAAGTCTTCCAGCAACAGGTCCGGGCTGAAAAAGCTACAGTAACAGCCATAGTTGATGCGCTGCTCGAAGGGACCAGACAGAGGAAAGATGCACACAAATACATTGCCGAACTGCCACACAGCCCGAGGGCTGACGCTGTGTGCAGTAGCGCCTGCTGCAAGAATGCACAGCACATTCCATCAGTCCCACTTGGCTTTACCAGATGCTTGATGCCTGCCTGCTGGCTTCCTCCATGACTCCTACCAGCTGCAGCTACTGGAGACCAGTGAATAGATTCAGTCTGCAGTAGGATAGTTGGTCACCATTAAAATGAAGGAGAAGCCGGGGACAGTGGATCACACACACTGTGTGATTCCTGCACTGTGGAGGCAGAGACAGATGGATATCTGAGTTCATAACTGGCCTGGTTTATAGACTGAGTTCTAGGGCAGTCATGTCTACACAGAGAAGCCATATTTCAAAAAACAAAAAGAAGAACAGAAATGAATTGCACAAGTAAGTCAGGCATGTATGCAATCCTAACACTTGGAAGGTAGAGGCAGGAAGGTTTCACATCTGGGCAATAATGGTGAGTTGGAGGACATGCTGAGCCGCAGAATAAGTTTATGTACTAAAATAATAAGAGCTGAGAGATGTCTCTGCAGTCAGCAGCACGTGCTGAGCTTGTGTAGGACCCAGGCTGGATTCCAGCACCCACATGGCAGCTCACAACTGTCTATGACTCCAGTTCTGTAGGATCAAACCCCTCTTCTGACCTCTGTAGGCTCTGCTCACACAGTTCACTTACACACATAAAATAAGTGTAAATACTTTTTAAAGGGATGAGCAAAATCAAAATGCCAGGGCAGCTTAGGGACAGGGAAATGGTGCCAGGGCAATATGGCAGAGGCAGAGGAGCTTCTTTTTCCCTTGGGTAGGTGAATGTAGTGGACTTTTCTAAGGGGTCATCTGAGTTCAGACCTAGAGACTACAGGTGACAGCTCTTGTGGACCTGGGGGTAAGTAAGGAACCGCAACACAGAGGCTATTAGACCCTGATGGGAACCCCAAACCAGAACTTAACGAGTGACCAGTTGGGACTGTACATTGATGACAAGGGGGATGATGGGGCACTCAGAGGGGACAAGGGTCCTACCTGTGAGCAGAGTGACCAGCAGAAGGAGTTTCATCTTGAGTGAGGGGAGGACTCAGGTGACTTTTCCTTTTATACTCCTGTAGCTGTGCTCTGACAGTGTCCAGTCAGTACACGGGGCCTGTGACTACTGTGTGTGTAGCACAGGAGTAGAATGTGTCCACACTCACAGACAGTTCCAAATGGCGGAACTACTGTAGATGGTGGCAGAGCCTGAATCAGTGCTGTCACAGAGACAAAGAGAAAGGGCCAATTCAACATCCCACACCATCTTGAATACAGTTATGGTCAAAGTGCCAAATCCCTCTTCCATGGATGCTTTGAGGTCATAAGAAGACATAGACATTGTTCCTGGGGTTGGATCTGAGGGATGATGATATTGACATGTGGTCCTAGGCAGGAGTAGCTGACCCCAACAATCCTCTATGTTAACTGTACAAAATTAGCACTAAGTCTGTTCCAAGACCAGGCACAGTCTTTGAGTTACAAATCCAGTTACAAATTCCATCTTTAATTAATTATTTAATTAATCTGTCTCCCCGCTCTGTGTGTGACACACACACACACACACACACACACAAAGAGAGAGAGAGAGAGAGAGAGAGAGAGTAAAGAGAGAGGCTTGACTCCGTTTAAGCTTTTTTTTTTAAAGAAAAAAGAAAGCAAATGCCCACCAGCTGTGCCCACAGGCCAACATGATGCAGGCAATCCTTCATCTGGGGCTCTCCCTCCCCAGTGTGTGAAGCTGACAATCAACCATTACAGGGGCTGGAGAGAACGTTCAGCACCTAAGAGCTCTTTCTGCTCTTGCCGAGGACCAGATTCAAGTCTCAGTAACCACACAGTGGCTGGTGAACAATGTCTGCTGGCCTAATATCTTCTCCCCTCTGTTTTTGGCCATCTCTCATGTACCCTCCCCCTTAGCACCCCTTTTCCCCACTTCTCACTTATTCCTGGGAAAAAGACCTTGTAGGGGTGAGCTGAGTTGGCTGTCTCCATGCTCATGCTCCCCATATCCTTTCACCAGGACTCTGGACAGCCGCTGTCAGGTGCTACCAGTCACTGTGCCTGTGCAGGGCGCTCTACCTCCAGCTGTTGGGAGGGGTGAGGCCTGGGCTTTGGGACCTGAGTGGGCATGGGGTGGAAAGGCAGAGGACTGGGCAGCTGTTCACTAAAGCAAAAGAGACTGAGAGCCACGTAGCCTTAAACCAGCCAAAGAGATGTCAAATTTTTAAATGCAGTTTATGAGGGAACTAGAGAATAGCCCAGCTTCACCTGTGGGTTCCAGTTACAGGGAAAGGTAGAGAAGACAATGTGTTCTCTTTGGGTTGTTGGAAAAAGTTAGGCTGCTGTGTACTTTAGCTGGACAATTGTCCTGTGTTCTGTGTTTAGGCACAGTGAAGACTCAAAGGCCACCAGGATGTAATCCTGCCTGCAGATCATTTACTGTCACTCCAATTTGGTTTCCTGTATCCACTTTACTAGAATGAGCACACGGAAGAAGCTCTTTGAGGCCAGTATTTTTTGGGTCCAAGATGTTCCTTTGGTGTTCATGTGACACTTCTTTCTCTCTTTTCTCCCTCCTACCTCTCTTTTTCTTTTGCACCCCACCATTCCCCTCTTTTCCTGTCTCTTTCCCTTCCTCGTCTCTCCCCTCCCCCTCCCTTTCTGTCTCTGCCCCATATGTATCTCTGCCTGACTGCTTCTTCTTCAGGGTTTTGGTTTGTTTTATTGTTTTTTCTTTTGGTTTTCTTGGTAGTGTTTCTTTTGTAATAGTCCCAGCTGTCCGGTAACTCACTTTTTAGATCATGTTGGCCTTGAACTCAAGAGATCTGCCTGACTTGGTCTCTTCCTCTCCACCCCGGTGTGCTGGCATGAAAGGCTTGGCGGGGTTTATCACCCACTCTTCAAGGACCTCTCTTTATGGCAGTGTCTTTCCTATTAATATTCAGCTTGCAGGGCTAAATGAAAGATGTTCTCTGAAGATATAGTTATGTTTGGTAGACAGAGAATACATTTACTAAAGCTCAGTTCTTTCTATAGGTTCTGTATTAGAGGGTACAGTGTGTAGTGAACACAACCAGGCAGGCAGGGGTGGTGTAGGCAGTAACTGAGGTGACAGACTAACAGTGAATGCCTCTGTACTGCTTGTTGTATGGAGCCTTGGAGAAGTAGATGGTGGCTTGGGGTGTCACAGCTGCAGATGAAGTCCTCACAGGCTTTGCTTTTCTGCAGAGAAACAAGAAAGGAAGTTGAGTGGAGACCATGACCCTTGTTCCTTATGATTCATAAGCAAAAGAAATTGGCAGCCCTCTCATAGGTGCAGAATCAGGGTTGAGAGCCAAAGCACACAAAAGTCTATGGGGTTGCCCAAATTGCTACAACACACTTATTTAAATTTGCTTGTTGTGGGGCTGGAGATGGCACAGTTGGTAAAGCTGTTGCCATACAAGCATGAGGGCCTGAGCTAGGATGCCCAGAGATCATGTAAAAAGCAAGGTGTGGTTGGGGCATCTGTACTTCTATTGGGAGTGGGGAGCTTGGATCCCCAAAACCTGTTAATCAGTAAGGTTGGCTAAAGGTGAGTGTCCTGTTTAGTGAGAGATCCAGTCTCTAAAGACATGGTAGAGAGTGACTGAAGAAGAAAGAGGATGGCAACTCATTCCTATACATAAAAATAAATAAACAGGTCTATTTAATCCCGAAACCAGGAAAACTACAAACATCAACTACCAGTTCTATAATCATCTGGTTTAAGACAATGCTCCTGCCTCTACCTCCCAAATTCTAGGATTGTAGGTCTTCACCACCACACTAAGTCACGGGTTCTGGAGGTGGAACCCAGGATTCTGAGCATGCAAGACAAGCTAAGCTCTCTAGAACCTGAACTATATTCCCAGCCCTTTGAATCCTCACCTATAAAATGGGAATGATTAATCTTGCCCTGCGTATACATTTGGTCCATTATTTGGCTTATAGCCAATAATGTAACTTACAAGTATTTAGTAAATATTGAATCCGTAAACAGAGTGGTTAATAGGAGAGAGAGGGTTTGGGCAGGCAAGATGGCTCAGGGAACAAGGGCCCTTGCTTCCAAGTCTGAACCCTAGTTCCGTCCCCAGGACTCACATGGTGGAAAGAGACAATGGACTCCTGCAAGTTGTCCTCAGAGCTCTGCAGGTGTACTGTCCCACGGGCATGAGTCCCCCCGGCCCTGATACATAAAATCTTAAAGTGTTTTTAAAAAGAGGCTTTGAATGACGTAGATCTTTGTCCTGAACCAAATGCCATCGCTTGTAAGCTGGGTGACCTTTGGCAAGTGGCTTGGGCTTCCTCATCAGTGAACTTGTTGTTCTTGTGACTTTTTACTCTTTGTGGGGCCTCCCACCCAGCTCACAAATAAATTCATGGAAACATATTCTTTTTTATGAATGTCAAGCCTTAGCTTGGCTTGTTTCTATACGGCTTTTCTTAAATTATCCCATCTACCTTTTGGCTCTGGTCTTTTATCTTTCTCTATGTCTGTATGTCTTTTCTTTACTTCTTACTCCGTGGCTTGCTGTGTAGCTGGGTGGCTGACCTCTGGAGTCCTCCTCCTTTTGCTCCTCTATTTTTCTTCCCAGATTCCTCCTCCTATTCATTCTGTCTGCCTGCCAGCCCCACCTATCAAATGTCTTGCTATTGGCTACTCAGCTCTTTATTAGACCAATCAGTTATTTTAGATGGGCAAAGCGACACAGCTTTACAGAGTTAAACAAATGCAGCATTAAAGGATACAAGGCATCTTTGCATCATTAAACAAATGGTCTGCAGCATAAACAAATGTAACAGATCTTAAAATAATATTCTACAGAATTTCCCCCTTTTTGTCTAAATAAAAATGAAAGGTATTATAAAAAACGTTCAGTGACCACTTAGGCTATACAAAATAGGGCAGAACAGCTGCTGATATTTCAAAGGTACCAACAGACCTACCTTTAAAATGGTTGACAAACAAACCTGTCTTGGTGGAACAGTGACCTTTGACACCAGAAAACTTACAGACCTTAGAACAGCTGGTACAGGAGCACCTAAAAGCTTGACGTAGTGAAGAATAGACTAGTACTTGGAATTCTCCTGTATTTGTCATTAAAAAGAAATCTGGAAAATGGAGAATGTTAACAAATTTGAGAGCCATAAACAAAGTAATTTAGCTGATGGGCTCTTTACAGCCTAAAATTTCTCTATTATCTAAAGGGTGATCTACTATGGTGATTGATTTAAAAGGTTATCTGTTCAGTATACCTTTGCAAGAACAGGATTGAGAAAAATTTGTCTTCACAGTGCCTACTAATTCTCAGTCCATTAAAAGATGTCAGTGGGCCAGGCAGTGGTGGCACACACCTTTCATCCCAGCACTCAGGAGGCAGAGGCAGATGGATCTCTATGAGTTCGAGGCCAGCCTGGTCTACAGAGTGAGTTCCAGGACAGCCGGGACTGTTACACAGAGAAGGCCTGTCTCCAAAAAACAAACAAACAAACAAACAAACAAACAAACAAACAGATATCAGAGGAAAGTTCTTACACAAGGGATGTTAAACAGCTCCACCCCGTGCCAATATTTTAAATGACAGTCTATGGAAATAATTCATAATCAGTTTCCTCAATGTATAATTTACCATTATATGAAAGATATCTTACTAGCTGATTCAAATGTAGATACCTAAAGGAAAATGTTTGAAGAAGTCAAGAAAATTTTGCCTTGGGGATTACAAATTGCTCCTGAAAAAATACAAAGAGGGGATTCTGTTAATTACCTGAAAAAGGGGGAGCTTATGGACCCCAGACTGATAGCTGAGAGGCCAGCATAGAACTTATGCAGATCCCCTAAATCTGGGTGTTAGTGAGGAGGCCTCGGCAATCTATGGGGCCTCGGGTAGTAGATCAGTATTTATCCCTGGCATATGAATGGACGTTGGGAGCCCATTCTACATGCAAGGATGCTCTCTCAGCCTGGACACATTGTGGGGGCATAGGCCCTGCTGCGGATGATATGACAGACTTTGGAGATCCACCAGGGAGGGCCTCACCCTCTCTGGGGAGCAGAGTGGGGAGTGAGTGGAGTTGGGCGGGAGACTCTCTGAATCCCAGCTCTCTGAATCCTCACCTGTAAAATGGGAATGAAAAATCTTTCCCTGCACAGGTGTTTAGTCAAGTGTTTGGCTTATAGCTAATGATGCAGCTTCTAATAGTTTAGCAAATATGGAATCAGTAGATATAGCAGCTACTAAGACAGATTTTGGGCAGGCAAGATGACTCAGGGAATAAAGGCACTTGCTGCCAAGCCTGAAGCCAAGTTCCATCCGCAGGACTCACATGGTGGAAGGAGAGAACAGACTCTGGCATGTTGTCCTCAGAGCTCCACATCCGCTATGGCACAGGCATGCCTCTACCAGAAATACATAAAATATTTAAGTGCTTAAAAAAAAGAGGTTTAGGAATGATGTAGATCTTTCGTTCCAGAACCAAATGTCATCACTTCTAAGCTGGGTGACCTTGGGCAAGTGGTCCAGTCTTCCTCATGTTCCTTATCAATGTCCTTGTCTATATATTACTATTTATGTGATAAGGTTGTTGTGAGGTCAAATGAGACCAAGAAATGACCACTAAATGGTGGCTGTCTTTGTTACTTCCCTGCCCCTTCCCAACCCACTGAGGGCCAAGCAGAGTCCAGACATCCTGGAGGTGATCTCATTCCCAGAGCATGAGTACAAATAGGAGGTGGTGTAGGGGTTATTTATGAGTAGTTTGCATCTTTCCAGCTCTTTGGCCTGATCATAGCAGTGCTCCTGAGTCTGGCAGCACCTGGAGAGAGGAAGGAACAGCTGAGGGAGGAGCATGAACACACAGGAGGTCAGTTCTCACTTTCTCAAACATGTCCGGATGATTTAAAGATGATGTCCCAGAAGAAATGGTCCCGAGGCTTGAGAATCTCTGGTATCTATTAAGCATGTATTTGTTGCAAGCAACTTCTGTGGAGTGTGGTGCTGTCTGCCATTAGTCCTAACACTTGGGAGGCAGAGGCAGATGGATCTCTGAGTTTAAGGTCAGTCAGGGATACATAAGTGGGACATTGTCTCAAAAAAGTGATTTTTTTTAAAGAACAAAGTTTCAGGAGTGCTGGGATTCTCTTCTCTGGTCTCACTCCCCCATTCCAAACCCCATCCAGAAGTTCCCTGGAGACCCAGTCCCACTCCTCCTATTCCAGACCCCACCCCACAGAAAGCCCACTAAGGGTTAGCTCCTCCCCCAGAACCACTCAAGACCACACCTAAAGTGTATTTAAGACCTGTAGGAGTGAACCCCACAAAGCTATCCGCCCATGAGGGTGGGGACATGTAAACTGACACAGGTAGATATAAAAGGAAGTGAAAGGAAAAGGAAGCTCCCTTTTTTCTCCTGGAAGCCAGCCACGCTTCTAACTCCTGGTTTGTGCGACTCTCTCTCTCTGATAAATGAATATATTGTTTTCCTATAGCATTGACTATCATTAATAAAGACCTGGCCCCTAGAGTCATGGCGTGATTTCTCTCCTGCCTTCCCCAAGAGTCACCCAGGAGTTGCTTAACTATTTATTATACCTGGCTTTTTTATTTGGCTGGATTTGGCTTATTACATTGCTGGAAAAACCCACTAACCAGGGTATTTTCAAAATACTTATCAAGGAGTATGGTGAAATTATCCATCCTGAAGGTGTGGTAACTGTTTAAAGCTAAGGCTGACACTTGGATGGTGACTGTGATGGTTAGCCATGCCCTACTCTGGTGCTTGAGGCCATCATTGCCTTGTGTTTATCTCATACATTCTGCTTTCAGCACCTACTCATACACACAGTCCTCCTGACTGATTTCATTGCACGAGAAGAGGGGTGAATATATCCTGGGCATGGTGATGCACACCTTTAATGTCAGCACTCTGGAGACAGAGGCTGGAAGATCTGAGTTCAAGGCCAGCCTGGTCTCCAGAGAGCATTCCAGGATAACTAGGGCTACGCCGTTTGGTGACTATGCCTGTCTCCTATTCATGCCTCACGACATGCTCTGCTTGTATCTTGTCACCTCCTCAACACAGACACTCCAGTGTCCCACCAGATGAGTCACTCACCTGTCTAAGTCATCCATTGGGGTGTCTGAGCCCCCATGTCACAGTAGCAGGCATAGACGTTGTTCAACAACAAGGGATGACTCCTGGGGATGATGCCCTTGATTATAATGTGGAACTGCTTCACAGGCTGAGGGCTGATGCTCTGTGCAGTAGCACCTGATGCAAGAATGCACTGCACACTCCATCAGTCCCACTCGGCTTTACCAGGGGTCTGATGCCTGCCTGCTGGCTTCCTCTTTGACTCCTACCAGCTGCTGCATTGGGAGAACAGCGAATAGAGGTGTGTGTGTGTGTGTGTGTGCGCGCGAGCGTGCATGCATGTGCTTGCTGGCAGGCAAATAAGCAAGCACACACTTGGGAGCACTCATAAATGTCATGCTACACACGAGGAAGTCAGAGGACAGCTTTAGTGAGGTAGTTTTTTCCTCTTACTATGTAGATCTTGGAGACCAAACTCAAATCACCAGGCCTGAGCAGGAAGGTGTCTACCTATTTGAGACAGAGAGTTGCCCTGTAATCCAGACTAGCCTCCAACTCTGTGGCAACCCTCTGTCCTCAGCCTCTCAAGTGGTAGGATTATAAATGAACACACCATGCCAGGCTGGGCTGCCTCTCTGAGATTAACTTCTATAGACATTACTTTTTTCCTTGCTTGCCTTCTCATTTCTCACTGTCAGGACAGACAGCGGCCACACTGTGAGCTGCCCTGTGGTCCCTGTGTTGAGGAGTTGAGAACACTCTCCAGTCAGCAGCCAGGGATGACCGACTTCTTAGTTAAATAACCCAACAACCCAACTGTCTCTTGAGTGAGAAAGCTGCTCCACTCCCACTCAAGCCTAGGGGAAACCCTAGCCTTAGCCAGCAGTGGGATTCATCACAGTTCTAGCTGAGACCTTGAGCCAGAGAAGCAGGCAACACATGCTTATTGTTTTACACTGGAGAATTGGAATCTGTTGCATGGCACACACAGTTAACATACAAGGTTAATGGTCAACTTACCATGTGTAATGTCAGAATTTACCATAACAAACTATTCATCAGTCGAAGAGTAGGTAAATAAGCTAGGATTCAGTCTGCAGTGAGATACTTGGTTGCCATTAAAATGAAGGAGAAGCCAGGTACAGTGTATTACACACACACACACACACACACACACACACACACACACACTGTGTAATCCCAGCAGTGTGGATGCTGAGTCAAGAGGATCAGAAGTTCAAGGTTCCCAGATTTTAATCCCAGAACTCTGGATAGAGTCACGTGGATATTTGAGTTCAAAGCCAGCCTAGTTTATAGAGTGAGTTCCAGGACAGCTATGGCTACACAGAGAAACCCTGTCTTGTAAAACCAAAGAAGAAGAAGGAGAAGGAGGAGAAGGAGAAGAAGGAGAAGGAGAAGACGACGAAGAAGAAAAAAGAATTACAGACACAAGCCAAACATGCACGTAATACTAACTCTTGGGAGGGTGAGTCAAGTCTGAGCTATAATGCTGAGTTGGAGGACATCCTCAGCCATACAATAACATCATGCAAAACATAATAATAAGGGCTGAAGAGATGCTCTGCAGTCAGGAGCACTTGCTGAGCTTGTGTAGGACCCAGGCTCTGTTCCTGCTCACGTGGTATTTCCCAACTGTCTATGACCCCAATTCTGAAGGTTCAAACCTCACTTCTATTCTCTGTAGGCACTGTTCACACATGGTTCACTGACAGCATGCAGGTAAAATAGTCATGCACATAAAATAAAATAAAACAAGAGTAAATGTTTTTAAAAGGATAAGAAAAATCAAATTGCCAGGGCAGCTTAGAGCCAGGGAAATGGGTGCCAGGGCAATATGGCAGAGGTGGAGGGACTTTCTTCGCTTGTGTGGTGAATGTAATGGACTCTGCTGAGGAATCATCTCAGGTCAGACCTAGGGGATAAAGATACCAGCTGTTGGGGTTAGGGGGTGAGGAGGGAGCCCCAACCCAGGGACTATTAGATATCAATGGGACCCCAAACCAGAACTGCAGGTGTGACCAGTGGGGTCTGTGCATTGAAGACAAGGGGGATGGTGGGGCACTCAGAGGGGACAAGGGTCCTACCTGTGAGCAGAGTGACCAGCAGAAGGAGTTTCATCTTGAGTGAGGGGAGGACTCGAGTGACTGCTCTCTTTATAGTCCTGTAGCTGTGCTCTGACAGTGTCCAGTCAGCACACAGGGCCTGTGACTGCTGTGTGTGTGTAGCACAGAAGTAGAATGTGTCCACACTCACAGACAGTTCCAGCTGGCAGAGCTACTATAGATGGTGGCAGAGCCTGAATCAGTGCTGTCACAGAGACAAAGAGAAAGGGCTGGCTCAACACCCCACAGCAGCTCAAGTGCAGCGACTGACAAAGTGCCAAGTCCCTCCCCCATGGATGCTTTGGGGTCATAAGAAGACATTGATATTGCTCCTGGGGTTGGGTCTGAGGGATGCTGATAGTGACATGTGGTCCCAGGCAGGAGTAGCTGTCCCCAACAATCTTCCATGTTAACTGTATAAACTAAGTGCTAAGTCTGTTCAAAGACCTGTCACAGCCTTTGAGGTAGATCCAGTTACAAATTTGATCTATAATTAATCAACTAATTAATTAATGTGTGTGCACACACATGTGGAGGTCAGAAGACAACTCTGTGGAGTCAGTTCTCTCCTTCTACTTTTAAATGGGTTCCAGAAACTGAAGTCAGGTCTATAGGCTTGCATCATAGGCTGCATGTTACTAGCCCATAAACTCCGTTTAAAAACTGGGGATGTGGCCAGATGTTGTTCTTGGTGCTTGCCTTTAATGTCAGTGCTCAGGAGGCAGAGGCAGGCCACTATCTGAGTTCCAGGCCAGAATATCTACAGAGTGAGTTCCAGAACAGCTAGAAATACATAAAGTAGCCCTGTTTCAAAAACCATTAAAAAAAAAAGAAAGAAAAAGAAAGCAAATGCCCAACAGCTGTGCCCACAGGCCAATGTGATGCAGGCAATCCTTCAGCCAAGACGTTCCCTCCCCAGTGTGTGAAGTTGACAATCAACCGTTATAGGGGTTGCAGAGATGGTTCAGTTCTTAAGAGCTCTTTCTGCTCTTGCTGAGGACCACAGTTCAAGTCGTACCAAGCGCATGGTGTGTGGTGAACAATGTTTGCTGTTCCAATGCCCTGTTGCCTCTGTAGTTTTGCCATCTCTCATGTACTGTCTAACTTAGCACCCCTGCACCTCCTTTTTCCCACTTCTCACCTCTTCCCTGGATAAAAACCATGGAGGGGTGAGTTGAGTTGATTGTCTCTACACTCGTGATTCCCCTGGCCTTCCAGCAGGACTCTGGACAGCCACTGACTACCACAGTGCAGTCTGCTCTAGCTGCACCTGCTGCTCACCAGGCCTGACCTTGGGAGGGGCCAGGCCTCAGCTTTGGGACACCAGTGGGGTGGAACGGCGGAGGACTGGGCAGCTGCTCACTAAAGGAAATGAGAGATTGAGAACCACATAGCCTTAAACCAGCCCATCTGGTTGGCCAGGAAACCAGAGATTAACATGGCTTTACCTACGGGTTTACGTAATATAGAAAGGTAGAGGGAGATGATGTGTTCTCTTTTGTTTGTTGCAAAAAGTTAGGCTGCTGTGTACTTTAATGGAACAACTATCCTGTGCTGTGTGTTTAGGCACTCTGACAACCTGAAGGCCACCAGGATGAAAGAAGTGCCTTCAGGTCATTTACTGTCACTCCAGTTTGGTTTCCTGTATTCCATTTCCTGTGAGATCCACACAGCAGAAGCAATTTGTGTCCGGTGTTTCTTTTTGTTGCTGTTTTCAAGATAATGTTTCTTTGTATCTTTGGACCCTATCCTGGAACTGGCTCTGTAGACCAGGCTGGCCTCAGACTTGCATAGATCCATCTAACTCTGTGTCCAGAGTGCTGGGATTAAAAGTGTGGGCCACCTGCACCCCCATGAGTTCACTATTTTTAGGGACAAGGTGTTACCTCTGTGCCCATGTGACACTTCATCTTTCTGTCTTCTCTTCTACCTCTCTATCTTTTTTTTTAATTTTTGAGACAGGGTTTCTCTGTGTAGGTTTGTAGTCCTGGCTGGCCTCGAACTCACAGAGATCCACCTGCCTCTGCCTCCCGAGTGCTGGGATTAAAGGCATGGGCCACCACTGCCCAGCTACCTCTCTATCTTTTATATCCTTCCCTCCCCTCTTCTCCTTCCCCTTTCTGTGCCAGCTACCCACTGTATATCTCAGATTGGCTTCTTTTTTCTTTTTTTAGATCTTTGAGAGAAGGTTTCTTTGTTTAATAGTTCTGGCTGTCCTGGAACTTGCTTTTTAGGCCATGTTTGCCTTGAACTCAAGAGATCTGTCTTCCTCTGACTCTGCCTCTTCCTCTACATCCCAAAGTGCTGGGGTGAAAGGCATGGCCAAGCCCACAATCTACACCTCAAGGTGCTTGCTTCCTGGAAACATCTTTCCGATGAATCCTCAGCTTCCAGGGTTAGTCGAAATGATGTTCTCTGAGGATATAGTTATGTTTGGTAGATAGAGAATACAGTCACCAAAGCTGAGATTTTTCTATAGGTTCTTTATTAGAGGGCACAGTGTATAGTGAACAAAACCATGCAGGCAGGGGTGGTGTAGGCAGTAACTGAGGTGACAAGTCTAACAGCGAATGGTTATATTGTTCTTGTGCAGAGCTTTGGAGAAGCAGATGGAGGCCTGATGGTCACAGTTGCAAATGAAGGCCTCACAAGCTTCATTTTTTTTCTGCAGAGAAACAAGAAAGGAATTTAAGTGGAGCCCATGACTCTGCTTCATATGATTCATAACCAAAAGATACCAGTGACTCTCCCATAGGTGCAGACTCCGGATTGAGAGACAGAACACAGAAGTATGTTGGGGTTGCCCAAATTGCTACAACACACTTAGAATAAAAAATCATTTGTTGTGGGCCTGGGGATTTGGTACAATTGGTGAACCAGCTGCCATAAAAGCATGAGGGCCTGAGCTAGGATGCCCAGAGACCATGTAAAAACCAAGGTGGGCTTGGGGCATCTGTAACTCTATTGGAAAGTGGGGAGTATGGATCCCAAAAACTTGTTGGTCAGTTAGGCTAGCTAAAAATGAGTGTCCCATTTTGTGAGAGACACAGAGTCTAAAGACATGGTAGAGAGTGACTGAAGAAGACACAGGATGCCAACTCATTCCTAAACATAAAAATAAAGAAACACAGATATTCAGTCCTAAAATCCAAGAAAAGTGCAAATATCAACTACCACTTCTAAAATTATATGAGTTAAGGCAATCCTTCTGCCTCTATCTCCCAAATGCTGGAATTGCAGGTGTCCACCACCACAATGTGTG